CCAAAGGAAGGGCAGGAACAGCTTTCCTCACCATTCCCACAGTCTCAGCCCTCTGATTCATGGGTTTCATCACAACCAGCAAATGCAGAGGGTGGGATCTTTTCTAAGTTTAGAGTCAAAACCACCCCACAATTCCAATCCTGCCCATGAGCACACATCCAAGGCACCAGCCCCAAGCCGGCAAGCAGAGAGGAGCTCAGGTTTATCACCTCTTCCCACCCTAATCCCTCTGGAGTAGGCACTGATCCAGCTTGTCACATCCTCCTGGGGGCACAAGCTCCCTGCAGAGCTGCTGTTTCACTGGGGGGAATTTCAGCACCTCCTGCTCACCCTCAGAACCCCCAGGGAAGCTGCCTTTGGTCACCAATCCCCTCAGTTATCAACATCTGTCCTTTACCAACCAGAAACCAAACACAGACCTGGTTATTTTTAACCCTCCCCTCTGGGTGTTAAGCAGCCCCTGTGTGTGTTCTGCAGGCACATCCATCTGCAGGAAGGAGATGTGATAGGCCCCTTTGCTCTGGGCTCTTTCACCCCGGTTCATCCCGAAGTTGTGTGGAACAGGGAAATTTGGTACTGGAAAAGTCTGAGTGCTGCATTTTCCCCGGTTTTTTTTAATTTTTTTTTTTTTTTAAATATATAAAAAGCTTGTAAAATGACTTCTGTGTGTTAGGCAGGAGCTGTGAAGCAGCAAACGCCACTCCTGCCTCAGGGAAGAAGGAGGGGTTTGTGCCGAGCATCCTCTGGAGAAGAGCGGCCGGGATGCAGTGCTCCCTCTGCCGCCGCAGGGATGCATCCAGAGGGGCTGGAGGGGGCAGCCTCACACCGACAGAACATCGACAGGGGCAAAAGAAACACTTTTCACGCCTGAACATAATCGGTTTGGTTTCTCACGTCTTTACCTAAAGCATCTGATAGTAGTCTGGGGCGAGGGAGGTGGCTCAGAAAACAGAGGAAAAGAGGCATGGAAGACTTCGAGGAACTGGCCCTGTGTGGCAATTCCTGCAGAGCTTCCAAACGGATCAGGTTCTTTGATTTAAGGCACTTTTGTTTCTCTTGTCCCTGCTGCAACTTGGAAGATCCTTCTCTGGCATCCTCTGGAATCCAGGGGAAGATCCTCTGCTGCAGTGCAGGAATGCTGGACAGCCCTTTCCATGAAGAAATTTTCCTTCACATCCAACTTGAACCTCCCCTGGCACAACTTGAAGACATTCCCTCTCCTCCTGTCCCTGTTCCCTGGGAGCAGAGCCCAAACCCCCCAGACTCCCCCCTCCTGTCAGGGATTGCAGAGCCAGAAGGTCCCCCCTGAGCCTCCTTTTCTCCAGGCTGAGCCCCCCCAGCTCCCTCAGCTGCTCCTGCTGCTCCAGCCCCTTCCCAGCTCCATTCCCTTCTCTGGACATGTTCCAGCCCCTCCATGTCCTTCTTGGAGTGAGAGGCCCAAAACTGACCTCAGCATTCCCAAGATAAACTCTCCTCATCACAGGGATGCTGAGAAGCTGCAGGGACAACCTTCCACTGCTCACCACCTTCCCAATAAACTCCATTCCCAAATCTTTTCCTGTTTGGTGGGTGTCTCAGCTGAAGTGCACGTGTGTGTGGGGGGAAGACCCACAAAACTGTACCAAGCTCTTTTTGACTTGTTTGGGGCTGGTTGGTTTATCGGGGTTTTCTTTTGTTTTGTTTTGTGCTGTTTTTTTTATTATTATTATTATTATTATTTTGGTTTGTTTGGGGTTATTGTTTGTGGTTTTGGTGTTTTTTTTCGGATTTTTGTTGTTGTGGGGGGTTTTTTTGTACTTTTTTTTTTTTTTTTGGTACTTGTTTTTTACTTGTATGCCAAGTTAAAATACGAAGCAATTTTTTATGAAAAAGAGAAGTTATTTTTTTAAGGGCTGGAGCTGGAAACGTCCCCCTCTAACTCTTTTGTGTCGCTACAGGAGGTGTGACGGAGATGTGCCCCCGATGTATTTTGCGAAGGCTCCTCTCACAGCTCGGGTGGCGGTGCATCCTCAGCACAGAGCCCTGTCTTTGGTGGCCTCAGAGTTCCCTCTAGCGGGAGAGATCATCAGCGGACGGGAAAACGCATCCAAGTGAGTCTTTCATTGAAACAATAACTCCCCAGCGCTGTGTTTTCTCCCTCTGGACATTCTAACAGCGTTTTGCTGTCCGGCAACCCAACTCCAGGTCTCCAGAAACGACAACCACCGTATCCAAAGCTGTTCCAGGAGGAGATGATTCCGTGAGCATCTTCCCGCAGCACGCACAGACCGTGGTCTCTGGGAGAGGGGATGTTGGGATGTGCCGACAGAAGGAACCGGGCACTGGGTGTCAGTGCTTCCTCGCTCTCCCGGACAAAGAGCTCTTGGAAAGGAGCAGGGAAGGGAATGTGGGTGTTCCCAAGTCTGTTCTCCGCGCTGGGGATGGGTAAAAGCAGGTGCAGCGCTGGAGGGACCTTTAGAACTCAATCTTGAGCGATGTTTTAAGCAAGAGTTGCTCAGCATTTGGAAGATAACCATTCCTTGCATCCTGAAAATCACGTGCTGATTCAACTTGCCTTGAAATCCGTCGTGTTGCAGGTTACAAAGAGGTCTTCAGCTTGGCATTCCTCAAACAAGTGTTTCCTGAGACTAAATGCTCATTAATCTAATTTTTTTTTTCAGTGAAATTATCTGTGGGATTTTTTTTCACGGGATGTGTGTGTGATCTTCAGTTGTGGCTCTGATTGGAAGCCGACACTGTATTTGTGTAAGCACAACAAAAGAAGAGATGGGTGAGCTTAACTACTGCTTTTCATGGAAATGGAAATAGTACAGAGAAAACGTCCAGGCAACACCCACTGCCATTAAATCCATTCAATACCAAACCTGCTTTTTCGGCAAAGTTTAAATTCAGGTGTCTTCCATTTTACACGGCTGTTCTAGAGGTGGAAAGCCAACCCAAATGCTTTCATTGGAATTTGTGTGACTGACTCTTAGCCATCCTTTTTTTTTTTCCTTTCCCTCTTAATTAATGGCAGTTTGGATCAGCTGTATGATATCCTTTGCCTTAAACCTGCACAGGTGTCACTGGTTAGTGGCTTAAATGGCCCTGCTTAAAAGAGGTCATTAAGACAGATGAAATTAAGCCAGAAAAGGAAGAACAGCAGAGTGTGTTCACCCTGAAGCCAGAGGAAAAAAAATAAAGAATAGACCTTATTCCTGACAGAAGGAATTTCAGATTGCCTCTTCCACCAGTGTGCAGGATGTATTACAGGGGAATAAATAAAAGGAGAGGAACAAAGAACTCTCTAGGATTTAGGACAAGAGATTGCCCTGCTTACTCTCCTTCTCCCTGACTTCAAAGGTTTTGTCTCTCCAGAGAGTCTGTGCTACCCCTTGGCCACCCCAAGCTCTCCAGAGAAGGTAATTTTCAAAGAACGTTCTAGAACTTTGATTGCTGAGCTGAGCCAAGCCTGGTCCCTGTAAAAAGAAACAGTTGATATGAGAGCAGATAATGGGGCAGAAGGGGATTTCTGTGTCTTGTTCTCCTCAGAATTCTTTCCATTTGCCTCTGTCTGCCCTGAGGTTACCTCTGGTCTTCACCTACTGCTTCAGTACTGTCCTTTCCCTGCTCAGCTCTGGTTTGCTCCCTTTCTTCCAAAGAAGCAGCTCTTACTTTTCAGACCCTTTTAATAATTTTCTTCTTTCTTCTCGAGGCTTCTCCAGCCCATTCAGGAAGTAGCAACATTTGCCTAAATACAGAACTCTTCCACCTCAGTAGGTGTGAGTTACTGTAAAATAGCACTAAAATTCTCCAAATGCCCTTTTAATTTTTATTAAATAAGAACAGGGACTCGTTCCTGGGACTTCACTCCTTTTGTTGCTTTGATGGCACAGTGCCCTTTTGGGTAAATTTACTTTAAGCTGTATGGTTCTCTGGGGTTCCCTCTGAAGTCCCTTCAACTGCAGTGAAGGCAGGTGAGCTCAGGAGACTTGCTAACATATTTTTCTCCTTAAAAGAAAAAAAAGGGTGTGAGGGGTGTAGGTACATCAGTCTCAAACAATGAGTAGGTCGCTGGAGACCTGACTTGCTTTAGAAGGAACAAACAAAAGGGAAAGCTGGCAGAGTGAAATTTAAGCGACTCAAGACCTGCCTCTTGATCCTGGGGGACAGAGGGAAGTGTTAAATAAAGGTAGTGGTAGTGTTGAAATCTTGCTGAAAAGCCAGGTGGCTTTGGTTTATCAGTTGGCAGGGAAAGGGAGATGTCTGCAAGGACAGCTGTATCCATCTGGAAGAGACTCTGCCCTGAGCTCCAGACTCCAGGAACAGTTTAGACCTGTTTGGGGCAGCAGGGGCTTTCTGTTTTCACAGGTCAAAAGGTACTGAGAGCAGAGGAACAAGCAAAGTTAACACAGGTTGAGCCTGGGATGACTTTGGGGAAGGTTCAAACACCACCCTGTTCCTCAGGACGGTTTAGGAGCAGCGCCCCAAATATTCCCACACATCTCTGTCTTAAACAAGAAAGCGTTTCTAGGCTTATGTGGGCTCTTGGCCACTCCCTGGGTATCTTTTGTCAGTTAATTTTGGCAGGGGCTTGAAATTTTGATGTTCCCATGAGCAACGATGGTTTAAATCAGCGGACTTTTCGAGGCTGTGTAAGATAAATATTGCATCTGGTATGAACAGCATATAAACACGTGTGTTTATGAAAGTATAAACAAGCAGGTATGAACAGCTGAGGAAACAGCAGACACTGAATGTTCTGTATTGCCCGCTGAGGATGCTGCTTTTTAATTAATCACGTTGGGAAATGGGTGGCTTCTGTCAAGCCTGATAAAACTACAACAGAGACAACTTGTCAGTGGAAGATTCTGTGATGTTAACAACAGGAAGATGGCAGAGATTGCCCTGTTCTGCTCCTGCTGCCCCTTTTCCTCTCCACCCAACAGGAAGGTTAGCAGCAAAAGACCACTCCCAATGATATAAGAGGTTATGGGGTTAACTTTTTTTATCACCCACGAAGAGGAACTTGAAAGATCCAGGCCAGACCCTTTCATACTCACAAGCTGTGGGCACTGAAACTGGGTATGAAATCAACTTACCTAGAGAGTTTGTGTAATAAAATGACTTTCCCTTTCAGTAAATCCCTTTCTTTCACTGATTTTTTTTTTTCCTGCTAATTTCTTACAGACTAAAGTCAGAAAAAACAAGTGGTGTTTATCTGGGATAAGGATTCAAAAAAAACCAGGTGTTGTTTTTTTATCAGGGATGAGGGTTCAGGGAAGAGGTGGAGCCTTGGTGTATTAACATTTTGTTGTTGACTATTGCTGAGTTGGTGACCTGCAGTTCTTATTATTTTTGTGGTAATTAAGAAAGAAATAATTTACCAGGTTTAGCAAAAGCTTGGTATGTTGTTGTGTGATTTCCCATGAAGCCTTCCAATAAATAAGTTCCAGGAAGGGATCTGGTCTGAAGAAGAATCCCAAATACTTTTTGGAACACTAGTCATTTTAAGTGCAGTGTATGGCTGGTGAATGTCATCACTCTTGGCCGTTATTATAAATTGTTATCACTTGTTGTCATTGTTACATCACGTTCTGCGATTGGATTCCAGTTTGAGTGTTTTATGACAGCACAGACGTCTTTAATTAAAATTCATGTTCAGCCACCCCTGAACAGAAGCCGGGGGAGGAAGTGCTTTGAACACAGAAGGAATTTCTCTGCTGTTCACGGGAGTGAAGCCCCAAATTTTCTCTGAAGTTCAGGTTTACACTACTGATTTCCATCAGCAGCAGCGCTATTATCCATCCCGGAGAGCTGCTGGAACCGACTCTGCGCTGTCCCTGTGGATCACTCACATTTAGGACGTTTCCTGCTTTAAGCAAGCGGTGTTCTTGGTTTTATTTTTAGTCTTCTAAGTCAGACTTGTAATTTGCTTTTATTCATAGCCCTCGAGGCTGCACTGGGTGAGTAAGGAGCTCTACCGGGACGCGTCACCGCTCCATCGGGAATACCGCGATCCCACCGCTGGGACGAGGCGGGGGAAGGACGGGGAGGGTGCCGGGCACTTCCTTCCATTCTCCCCCTACTGCAGCCAGGCACTTGCCCGCCAGTACCCATCCCTCTTGCTGCCTTCCCGGCTGGCATTCCGACTGGCATTCCTGGCTCCAAGGTGTGTTTCGGGGAGCGGCGTGGCTATCGGTGCGGGGCGGGATGGGGAGGCGCAGCCTGGCATCGCCCCGATAGGAAACGTGAGCCTCCAGAGCCTCGGTGGCCCCGGAGAGGATTCCCCCGGGGGAGCCTCTTTAAAGCTGAAAGACTTTCAGGAAGAAACTTTCTGGAAGTGTTCGGAGAGAGGAGCGGTTGGGAAGGCGCAGGGGGGGCACGGGAGGTGGTCTGGGGAGAGCCCCCCGAGGTGGGCTCAGTGGGTTGGGAAAGGCGGGCACAGTGAAGAAATGAAAGATTCGCGCTTTGCTTGCCCCCAGTCCGAGTCTTGAACACCTTTTCCCCCTTTCTTCTGATACTTTGTGTTTTTGCTGTTGTTTTTTTTGTTGTTGTTATTTGTGTGGAGTTTGTGAGTGAGTTTTTTTTGTGTGTGTCTTTTTTTTTTTTTTTTTTTTTTTTTTTTTTTTTTTTTTTTTTTTTTTTTTTTTTTTTTTTTTTTTTTTTTTTTTTTTTTTTTTTTTTTTTTTTTTTTTTTTTTTTTTTTTTTTTTTTTTTTTTTTTTTTTAAGGATGATTGGACTTGTGATCCTAAGGACTTTCTTTTTTTTCCTTTCCTTTGGTGCCCCATATAGCTACTTGTTCTTCATGGTGTGAAACCTTTTGTCTTCCCGGCCTGTGCCTGATGGCGCATTAAGGTGCCCCAAGGCGGTGACACACAGAAGGCTGGAGTTGAAAACTCTGCTTGCCTGCAGGTGTGGCACGTCTTTCACTGCTTTATAAACACTTCTTGACCTCGGTGTTTTCTGCTGGCTATGCTGGCCCTTGATCTGCTTGCTTTTAAAAGGAGTACCTGTCCGAATTTCTTAGTGCTTACATATCTGGCTACGCTGTATTATCTGGCAAACTGCTCGTTGGGCTTGTGGCTGATGGATCCTTGTTTCCTGGTTTTTACACATCAGAACTTGATCTCTGTGCTTGGTAACTGCAGAGCTGTATCAGGGCTTGCTTTAGCACTGTGTTTAAAATGCAAAGGCAGGCTGCTGGTTGTCAGTGTGTGCGTTGTGTGCACAAGGAATTTGTTTTAAATACGTTTTTCTTCCTCCTGTCGTTCATTTATTTATTCATCAGCCCTCCTTTTTTTAATCTGTACAACATAAAAATGCTTTGCAGTCGATTCTCCCTTCTGTGAGAATCTTTAAAAGGCTGGGATTTCCTTGTGTTCTTGACAGAAGATGCTTCTGAGATTCACCAGCTGGTTTTGCAGGCATTGCTAAAATCTCAGCAGCGGGTGGAGTGTGTCACAGAGCTATTCTGTGCAAAATAATGTTTCCACTTGGATATAATGCCAGCTTCAGGTAGGTCTGCAATTCAGCTGTGTTGTGGCAATATCAGCTGAGGGAACAGGGCAATGAGACCTGCCAAATCTTACTGCCTAAACACAGATTTTTTTTTTTTTTTTCTCACATGGCAAACCTACCCTTAATTTTTGCACCCTGATGGCATGATATCACCAAAAAGTGGTCTGTCATTGAGTCACTCATCTCTCCTTGTCTTCCTTCAGGTGAAGCAGATTTCCTCTTCCAAAATGACCTTCCCCTTTCTGGTTTTGTGTCTGGCATGTTCTGGGCTTGGAATGGCAAAGGGTAAGTTGAATTTCCTGCAATCTGCTTGAAAGCTGTTTGGGAACCGGTTTCAGATTCCTGAGGCTCCAACAGTCAGAGTAAGAGATAAAAGTAGCTGAGATGTAGATTGCTGATGCTGTTAGATACATGCTGAGGCAGAGACATGGAGCTGACAGGTGTGACATAACACCTCCCAGAAGCAGCATTTTGAGAAGGCAAGAGACAAGCAGCGTCCCATAACTATGATGACACTGGACACGACTGTTCACCTGAGTTCAGTTTCCCATTGTGGAACCTTCCCTAAGGAACAAAGCTCTGTTTTTTTATTTCTCTCCGTCTCGAATGTGCTGTGAGCTCTAAAACTACGTGGTCCAGAAACTCTTCTTGAGCCATGTTTACTCCTCTGAGAAAGGCTTGGTGTGTAAATCCCTGATGCAACTCAATCTTCCTCTAGCTCTTGGGAAACAAAAATTGAGTGTGTGCTGAATGGGAAGATGGGAGCTTGATTTAGTGACACTGGAGAAGGAAGTCTACAGGGATGGGTACAGAAATAGGCTGAGTCTTTTGTCATTTGAACAGTTTAGAAGAAAACCAGCGCCTCAGGCAGTGTAAATCAACATCAGCGATTTCTAGGAGTACTCAAGAGAAGGACTTTTTGGTGGAAGAATGTAACTGGAGGAGTTGTTGTGTCTGTGGGTAATCCAGGCCTTAGAATCAGCATTAAACTTCTGAATATGTGTGATATCTGCCCCTGTGACTATTTTATGTCCCTGCAGTTGTTCCCCAGGCTGAAGAAATCCAAGTGAGGGTGGGTGACAACACACCTCTGAGCTGTGCCCTGACAGAACCCATGGATGTCGTGCAAGTGACGTGGCAAAAGGGCTCTGAGAAGTCCCATAAGAACATAGCCACATACAGCAAGCTGAAAGGATTGAAGATTCACAAGTCCTATCAAGACCGGATGAATTTCACAAGCCTGGGGCTCAACGAGACCAGCATCACTTTTTGGGACGCCACGATGGATGATTCAGGATGTTACCTGTGCCTCTTCAACACTTTCCCCTCGGGCTCCGTCTCTGGACGAACCTGCCTGAGTGTTTTTGGTGAGGTTCCCTGCAGGGATGTGTTTCTGGTGGAATAAGAGGTGTTTTGTCACCCACAGTATGTCCTGGGGCAGATTCAGGAACAGGAGCATCCCTTGGTGGAACAGGATGCAGAAACAGGGCATTACTGCTGTGAGCAAGACTCTGGGGGTCACATTCAAGACTCTTGTGGTGGTTTGGGCTCTTGGTTGTTACTCCTTGAGTAGCAAGGAGTGGGATCTCTGCAAGCCCATGGGCAGTCCCAGATGCGACTTTGGCAAACCAACACTGCCTGTTGCTGTTTGCTCTCAGTGCCAGCAACAACCCCAGTGCTCTGAGCTGTGACAAATTGATAGAGAATTAGCAGATGGGACCAAGAAATGGTTTTACTGAGCAGATTATTTTAATACCTGGATTTCAGATTAAGTGAAATGTTTGGGGTACATAACTCGTGGATAGGGGGAGGAGTTTTGAGTCCTGGAGGGAACCTGACCCGGTGAGCGCTTCTTTGGGCTCAGTGTGAATGCAGCAAGCTTTGCTCTGGTTCATGATGGTTTGGCTGCTGTTACTGCCTGTGACCAGGAGCTCGTTGTGGTGATGGACTGTCTCATTTGTGTGTTGGAAGGTCTCAATGCATCTGTCCACTACAACATCTCTGAGGGTCACTTGGTAGCCGTCTGTAGCGCTGTTGGCTTCCCAGAGCCCACCGTCACCTGGAACAACCTGTTCGATTCTGCTCCTACACAGGAGGTGGTCAGTCACGCCAGTGGGGTGGTGTCCATCACCAGCACACTGCAAGTCCACAACCCTCAGAGGATCGGGGCACAGGGCTTGATCTGCAGAGTGAACAACACGAACGAGGCGAGGGAACTGCCAGTGAAAATTAGCGGAGGTGGGTGAATGATGCAAGCACCCTCTTGGTGTTCTCTTGTTTGGGTAGGAGTCTGCTGGGAAGAGGAGGGAGTGAGAGGTGTGTGTGTGTGTGTCAAGAATTAAGAAATGAAATCCTATTTGCATTTGTTGCTGCCTTTGAAACAGTGACATACTCGAGTCCTATCCAAGGAGGGGAGGGGAAAGCCAAACTGTGGGTTTCAGAGGCACCACGTGTTTTGCAGCAAGTCAAACTTCAGTTTTTCACACAGGCCTTCGTAATTGAACAACCTAAAAATAAGTATATCACCTGCTATCTACCCAGGTGAAGTAAAAACTCCATGGGTTGCTTAATGACCACAGAAGTGGAAGTTTTGAAATTCGTAACAAGCTATCTCTGAACCAAAAGTTTGTGTTTAACTTACCACATGCTCTTGTTGTGTTTTAACCTGTGTATTTTTAATTTATGAATTTAGAAGAGCAGCAGAGCCTCATCCTGTGTAAATCAGCATAACTTTATTGATTTCTGTGAGAGAGCACAGGAGAAGGACTTGGCACTAGAGATGTAGGAAGGAGGGAATAGTCATGGTGAGGAAGGAATAGTATTTCCAGGCATACAGGGGGGCAGCCAGCTGAAGATGCTTGTGTTGGGTTTGTGCAGACATCTTAAATACATAAATGTAACATCTGAATACCTTGTAGTATTCTTTTATTTCTTTTTCCAACGTTCTGCTCTGCTGGAAAGACTTTCACCCCAGTTTTACAGATGAGAAGGAGAAACATTAAAAGATGAATTACCATTTTTAGCTCATACAGAAGTATTGACTTCATGTGTCTCCAAACTCAGAACCTTAAAGGGGAGACCACTGATAAATTAGGACAGGAAAAGCAGCACATAAATGTGGGTTAATTCTGAAATTAGATGCTCAAGAAGTGATTGCTACGGGAATATTAGTACAGAGCAAGATCTGCCTTTTAATATTTTCTCTCTAAAACTTAAAACCCCTTCAAATCCAGTTCTTAATTCTGAACTAGCCTAATTGAAAAAGCATGCTAAATCTTTCTCCTGTCCGAATTTCAGTATTCTTTTTGTTTTGACCTTTTGAAAAGAAAATATGTGTCTCAGAAAGCAGGAAGCTAAGACTGTTTTTTCTTGCTAGGAGAACAAAAAATCAGCTGACAGCTTGTTGTTTTAGCAGTCTTAACGTTCTAGAGGATGAGAAATTCCAATGAATAGTTCCATCTAGCTAGATGAGGATTCATAAATTCACTCTCTGTTTTGAGCAATCTCTGCTTTCATGTATTTCAGCAATGCCTTTCACAACATCAGAGCTTGTCACTAACCAGACATCCTCCTGCCCCTCTTGGCTTATTTTCTTTATAAACCAGCTTCGTTCGGTGTGTCCTTTGTTTTGTTTCCACAGAAGAGGGACCCTCATTGCTTTGGCTGGTGATCATTGCTGTGATTGTAATCGTTGTTGTAGCTGTGTGTTTGCTCTTCTGGAGGAAGAAAATATGCCGGAGGTGTTGAAGTGGTGAGTCCCTGATGTGTGGGAACTAGTGGTTTTTCCTCAGGGGAAAAGTTTTCCAGTGGTTTTCCCCTCAGGGGGGAAAAGTTTTCTACTGGTCACAGCACCGTTTTTACTAATAGCATGCTAAAAATAAATAAATCAGGGGAGTGGGGGGGACTTAAGAAATGACAGAAATTTGATGATCAGTGGTAGTTTCACTGGTGTTCAACCAAATCAAAATGCTGTGTCACAAAAGCAGGATTTGAGTGACTTTTTTTTTTGTGAAAAGCAGGACTTGAGCGAATTGTTTGTGTTCCTTCCCGTCTATCGTGGGTTTTGAGTAGCAAGTTCCAGGATGTGACTTCTGCAGTGAGCTTGTAGTTTTTATCAGTCTTATAAGGGCAGCGTTACTTTAACCAGAGCAACTTTTGGCCAGCTGATCCTCTTCCTTCACACAGTGGAGGAAGGAATTCCTGATAAAAGCAATGTGTAGTCCATCTTCCTAATGCACATTTGTTTCCTGAAGTCCTCATTAATTAGTTTGCTGTAAAAACTCCCATAGTGGTGCAGTTTGATCACTCTATCACAATCAGTTTTGTTTTTTGTTTGTTTGTTTGTTTTGTTTTGTTTTTGGTTTTTGTGTGTGTTTTGTTTGTTTTAATTTATTTTATTATCCCCAGGATGCTCTTTTTGTGCCTGTTTCTAGGGGTTACTTAATATTTCTCTTGGATATAATTATAACTGTCATTTCCCTGGGAATCCTTAGAATACCTGTGGAACTGCAGCAATTTTAAGCACTATATTTCCAGTGTGTTACCACTCCACAAACACCATATTGTAACGAGGAAATCCCCTAACCCTCCTTGGATATGGATCCTTGTCTGGTTTTGTGGTGACTTGTTTTTGGTTTTGGGGTTTTTTTTCCCTTAATTGTCTGTGACATATTTTTCTGCTTTTTCAAGTTGCAGTTGATTCCCCCCAAAGCCAGGAACACCCTGCAGAAAGCCCTTTTCTGGTTTTATGCTCTACTGTGCTCACATTGTGTTGGAATGAGAGGCAGTGCCCACGTACATACTTTTTTGGAAGGGATTTTTGTGACCTCACAACAGAGGGCTGGAAAACATCAGTCTGACTGGACTTTAATGGTGCTCTTCATTCTGCACCAGATAACAAGCACTGCCTTTATAGTCTGGTCAAGCTGCCCATGAAGTAAAACAAAAGCTCTTTATCTGGCTGGCTGGGGACACTTCTCTGACCAAGTTGCTGCTGCTCTTGAGAGTATGGATGGCTTTTTTTTTTTCCTTGCTTTTCTGTTGGTTGTTTCCTTCCTCTTTGTGGTAGGATCAGGTCAAGGGCTGGGGGGGTTGAGATTTGATGTCCCACCCCCCTCCCCAGGGTGTTTTCCTTGTGTACCACTTACAGAGCAGAGATCTGTTCTGCAGTTCTCCCTGAAAGAGAGACACTTCCCATGTGGAGTGTCCTCACAATGCCTGGCAAAAAGTCACTTGTCTGGGGACAAACCGAGTGGCCTTTGTGGCGAGTGCAGATGGAAAACTCCATCTCTGCATCTCCATCTCTGACAAGCAGAAGTGAATTTAGCTGTGCCTCTCACTCAATACAATGAATCAGCAGGCAAAATCCCATCCCCCCCCAGCCTTTCTTGGTGCTACTCTTATAAAAAAGGTACAATTTCCTTCTTGACTCAACCAATAGAGCTTATTTACACCAAGGTAAAGCGATCAGTTAACAAGCCAAGAGCCTGGGTTGAAGCAAAACAAAGCCTTGTTAGCCTGAATAAATTCCTGTGACTTAACTCTCCTTTACATGTCTCAACCTGACTGCCTTCCACGACATCAGTTGCTTCCTTCAAGGCTTGCAGGATAATCTTATTTCAGCCTGGCCAATTAAAAAGCTTTATAGTTAGTTCGCAGGATGTCTGTGAGGGGATAAAATTCCACATGTGCTTGTTTTTGTTTTCCAGGAGGCTTGTGGTGACTTGCAGTGGCCCAGCAAGGGCTGTTTCACCACTGCATAGAAAGACCAGAATGATTTCTTTTGGTTTGTGTTGATTTTTAAGCATGGGGCAGCTTATGCAGCTTTTGCCGTGTGGAAAGGTGAATAAATAGTCAAATAGTACATTTGTATTTAAAAAAAAAAGTGACAGCAACAGGTCAGAAAAACATGGGGCTTGTCGATGAATAGATCTGATGTGACCTAAGAAAGCTGGAAGGAGAACACTTGAAGAGTCATAAAAGAAGAGATTAGGTCAGATGAAAAAATTCCATTCTGTGGAAAGTGCCAGCATAGGAATTTTACGGGGGTGGTTTTTTTTTGTTGTTTAAAAACCAAAACCTTTGGTTTTTCCTCCAGGTGGAAATTTTCTGGAAGTCAGACGTGAGCAGCGTTTTATGCCTTTTGTCAGAGGGGTGGACATGATGGATTTTTCCAGCCCTAATTATTCTGTGTTTGAATACAAGCAACTGCATTTCAAAGAAATACTGAACCTCAGTGTGCTTCACATTTTACAGAAACACTATAAAACAAGTTGAAAATAGCTTTTTGTCACCAGCTGGGGATTACTTGATACCCTGAATAGGGATTTAAGATGCCCTGATTGTTGTTTTTTTTTCAGAAGTTGCTACAAATAGTATAGATTTGGGTTTGTTAAGTGGCAAACAGCAACTTGATTGATCAGCTGTAATACCCAGGTACCAGAAACCCAAATTTTGGTGTCCTGAAAGGCTGGGAAATAAGTCTTGTGCAGGAAATTCCAGTTATTTGGAAAACTTGACATAAACAAGAGCTTAGAGACACTTTCCATTGCTTTAGACACTTTCCATTGCTTTGTTTATAGTCAAAATAGCAATTAATTCTGGAAGAGCCACTATAGCAGTGGTCTCTTGTGTTTATTCAGTTTGGGGAAGGCTTTGTTTCAAAGTTTTGGCTTAGAATTGTGGCAATTCTTATTTTATCTTACAACTTGACTTGTTTTTTCAGTGGATTTGCTTTGACCTACATCTGGATTTACTATTCGTGAGAGACTTGGTAGTTGAGAACAACAGAGCTGCTTGGGTTTAGGGGACTTTTCAGAATAATTTTTCCAGAAAAGACAGGCTAAATACCAGACATTCAGATTATAAACTCAGGCCTTAGCTCCCTCTTTCATGAGGCAGATGGATCTAACTTGCCCTGCTCACAAAGGAATGGGTGTTTGGGAGTCATGTCCCAGCTGGGGAGGCTCATTTTAGAGTTTCTTGGTTTCCTCTCAAGTGTGGCTTTATCATGAGTAGGAGGTTTATATATTTATCCTATTTTTAATTCCCAGAAAAATGGCAAAAAAACCCGTGCAGTGAATACACAACAGCCTCATTGCTCTGCCCTTCTTAACACTACCCACACACACAAAAAAAAGAACAGAAAGCAAACAAAAATCCAGACAAACCCCAACCCCCCCCCCCCCCCCAAAAACCACAGTGTAAAAATATTGTAGCCAAACAGACCAAAACAGAGCTAATGAGGGGGGAACTAAAAAAAAGATTACAAGCAAAACAACCCTCATTACAAAAATGTCAGCCAAGAGGTAATTCTGCTGTCAGCTGCCCCCCAGGTTTCCCACAGGCGTAAATATTTTGCAGCCCAAGTGAAGATGGTTTTGGGTTTCATCATCCACTGCTTCCAGACAGCACCTGCTCCCTGGTAGACCACTTAATTTTCTGTTCAGGATGAAATAAATCCTGTTTGTTGCAGACAGGGTGGAGGTGGTGGTTGTAGGAAACATCCCAGAATTTGTCCTGCCCATCCAAAGGAGAAGTGTTGAACTCTGTGCTGCTAAAAAGCTGGTTTTTTGCCAACAAGGTGGCTTTTGCTGTGGGGTGCCAACAGCATTTCCATCCTGTCCATCATATTTGTGCTTTTGGATATAACCAGAAAATAAAATGCAGCTGAAAGGCAGCGAAAATAGCACTCCTGTGATAAATGAATAGTTACCTTGCTGTTTCAGTTCCTTGGCAAGAATTATTGATATGCTCAATTCCAGAACACTCTGCAAAATACTCTGGCTGTATGAAGGGTTTTTAGACAAGGAGATGGAAACATTTTTTTATGCTCTTCTTCATGAAAAGAAAAGGTGCCATATATTTGGTCACTGTCTTCAAAGCCAGGTGATGATAGTGTTATAAATTGGATCTCAGACACCAGAAAGACATTCTGAAATATCAAACTGTTTATATGCTCCATATAAAACCTTACAGCTTTTATCCTGGTGTTTTACCAACCAGGAAAGTCAGTTTGCTTTTCACAGTTTATGAATCCTTTCAGGGTTCTGTGTCTTTCTTCTCTCGCTGTCTTATCCTGAATTCTGCAGTGTGTGTGACTTCCAGAATAAAAAAAAAAAAAAAAAAGGCAGGGAAGGTCCTACAGTTGTTCACCAAAGGGCAATTTTGTGACTGTTGTTCCCCACTTTCCCCACTGTGCATTTCTCTCCCCCCTCGCTCTTGAGGCAGCAACACAGTGGCCACAATTCATCCTTTTTCCTGCCTTTTTTTTTTCTTTCTTTCTTTCTTTGTTTTCTAGGATCCTTGAGGATTTCCATTCCCCTTCCAGATCATCAGAGGCCAGCAACCCAAAGTTGACAATAGAAATAATGACTGGACTGGCTGGAAAGAAGCAGCCAAAAAAAGAAGATACATACCCTGCCCTACCTAGACACCGAGTTATCACTGAAATGACTAACACAATGTGGTTTTTATCCAGCCTGGACCCTTCATCTTAACAAGTAGGATCAGAGGGACCACTTAGTCCTCCCCTCTGCTGTGCCAAAACCCTCTCTGCTTGTGCCACTCATGGTACTGCTGCTGTGAAAATCAGCTTCCTCCAGCTGAGACTGGAAAACAACCACGGATGGAAGCTCTGCAGACTCTCTGGGGATCCTCTTCCAGTGCCTGACTGCTCCTGTAGTAGGGAAGGGTTTAATTTTTGCCAGCCTCCGTCTGCAGTTTCACTTGCAACAACTTTGAGTTCATCGCCCTCTTCCCATGGTCTGGTTTTCCTTCTCTTATCCAGCTATTCCAGCTCCTTTTCCTCAGTGAATGTGTCACTGTGCCAAAGGCAGCATTGCTTAACTCTCTCTCCAAAAACACCTTCTGGACTCAAAAACCACAGGACTCGAGGCCACAGGAACTCAAACCACCCTGAATTTGTCAGAATTACTGGGGAAGAGCAATAGGGGACTCCAAGCAGGTGACAGGTTAAAGAAAGCAGCAGTTGGGAAAGAAGAATTACGTGTAATTTATGTAATATATAAGTATTGTACTTTATTTGACCTGTTTGAGTTGGGATAGAGTTCATTTTATGTACAGTTCCTAAACCCTGACAGCCCCTGAGCACCTTCCCAGGGCGAGGGTTGCTGAAACCAAGCCTACCTCGAGGTGTACATTTAGTGGCCCATTTCACTGACAGGATAGATGGAAAGGCTTCAGGGGGTCCTCTGGTGATTTTTCTTCAGCTGGTGAGTTAAATGTTTTGGGTTTTCCTTCTGTCTGAGTGTCACTGTATTGGGATCACTACCAGCACCATCTTTTGGGTTGGATCAGCGTTTATTTGTGCACCTGAAATACTCCATCTCTCTGAGTGTGTCGAACTTCCCAAGTGCCCTTTTTTTGTCTTGTGCTTTTCAAGTCCTGTGTTTACCAAGAGTACAGACTGTCAGTCTGAAACATCTACAGAGGAATTACAAAATTTGGGACTCAGTGTTAGAGCCAGTGTTTTGTTGTTTCCAGAGCAGTGGCAAAACTCTGTGTGTTTGTCTCAGTGTATTAGTGAGGGTGCGAGGGATGATATTTACTATTGTAAGTGAAACATGGATTATTTATTTATAGGTTTTACTTTTTCTAATTAAAAAATAACTCTTCTCCACCCAATGCATCAACTAGGTGTTTTTTGTTTTTTTTTTTTTTTTTTTTTTTTTTTTTTTTTTTTTTTTAAAAAAAAAAAAAAAAAAAATTTGAACAAAACTTTTGAGAGGAACTTAAGGAAGCAGCTGAGGTTTATTTCAGATTTGGAAATAACTTCAGTAAATCAAACCAGTGCATTTTATCTGTTTACCAGTATTGTTTGTGTCACTTTCCTTGCTTGGTTATTCTTTATCTGAAGTTTCATGCTCTGCTGATAAGTTGTCTCGTTTTCTATATTCCCCTTGCTGAAAAGAAGCCAAATAAAGCAACTTGGAACATCAGCCCTCACGATTCCTTTTGTTTGTAGCACACCCTGAGCTTTCATAAATCCACCAGAGAAGCATCACAGGTGAGCTCTGAGTGCATGAATAATTCCTTTGGGAGAGGCAGCCGTGGCCCAGTGTATCCTTTAAGACATGTGGACTTGGGAGATGAATTGGGAAACCACAGTTTGTGTTTCTCATGGCATTGATTTGCACTTTTCCTCTTAAGAGATGTGAGAGTGAGGAACGTGGCTGTAGTTCAAACAACGTTTTATCTCCCTGGAGGAGTCGAGGGATTGTGTCCCAGATCTTGCATTCCCCGTGTAAGGCAGCATTTTGTTGTTTGTCTGAGTTCCACCACTTGGTAGATTAAAATACACAGTAATTTGTTGCAGAGGTTTTTGAGATTGCAACATAAACGCCTCCTCTTGACTCTTTGTTTGTTTGTTTCTTTTTTTTCAGGGAAACAAATGCTTGCTGCTGGAGAATTTCCTACTGGATGATGACCATCCCTCACTGTGAGTGACAGGGGTTTGTTGTGTCTTCTCCTGGGAATTTGTCGCAATAGAACAAGGGGGAATGGTTTAAAACTAAAAGAGGATCAATTTAAATTAAATATATATATATATAAGGAAAAAATATTTTACAGTGAGAGTGGTAAAAGGCTGCCCAAAGAGGTGGTGGATGCCTATTTCTGGAAACATTTTATGTCAGGTTGGAGCAACCTGGTCTAGTTGATGTCCTTGCTGATTGCAGGGGGGTTGGACTAAATGACCTTTAAGCTCTTTTCCAACCCAGACTCTTGTGTGAGTTTACAAATTTGGCACTCTGAGGTCAGCCAGGCCACTTTTCCTTGCACAAATCCCAGGCAGAAGAGCAATTTTTGCCTTGCACAAAGAGCAGAAGGGCTGCTGGCCTGGCCCAGGAGCTCCTGGCAGAGTTGGGGGTCAAGTGAAAAGTAGATTGGCCGCCCTCCTCATCTTGCAGAACGACGCATTTCCTCAGGGAAACCTCAAGGTTGCTTTTTTTGGCTGCCATCCTGGTGCTCAAAACCTGTCAGAGTGTTTGCTTTAGTTTCCAAGCCATTGTTTAGTGCCTACAGCTGTCTCCTCTCTTTGTGTGCCTCTGTCCCTGGCCCTCTCAAGGATGCCATCACTCCTGGTCCTGCATTGTGCTGGCATGTGGGACAGGAAGGTGACATGTCTGTGAGAGATAACAACTCCCCTCCACCACCAGAGAAGGTCTCCAAACCCCCCGCAGGGTTCCTAGGAGAGGGGGAATTTGCAAATCAAACAAACAAACAAAAAAATCTCTTCTGCTGGCAGTGTGAGCACTTTGTTTTTGCCCTCAGTGTTTTCTCGTTCCCTGCCATGCTGAGGTCGGGGCAGCTGCTCCAGCTGCCTCTGAAGTGGTGCATTTGTGCTTGTGCTTTTCCCCTTAATCCTTCCCCCGTGGATTTTTGCCTGTCCACAACGCATTTCCAGGTTGTTTGCTTGCCTTGCCTTGAGGGGCTGCCTTCTGATTTGGGAACAGCTATGAGCTTTCACAGGAGCCACTCTCACTGTGTGGTCACTGGGACCCAGGGGGATGAAAACACCTTCCCTGCTGACTGAGATGCTGTTTGCTTTGAGAGCATCGTGGCAAGCTACTCTCGAAGTCTGCTCCATAACAAGATGTCAAGGAAGGAAGTGCAGGATAATTTTAGGAGCTAACAGGATGCAAGGTGGGATTTTTGTCTGGATTCATTTGTTGTTTTTTTTTTTTTTATTTTCCTTAAGATGGGTTGACTTTAGTGGCAGAATCAGCACTGAACAAGAATTTGCATGTTGATGAGCATTATTTATGAGCCAGGAAGGCTTAAAAGTCTTTCAGCTTCAAGTGGAAAGCACTTCAATGTGTTTTTCTGAGACCATGTTCAATGGGTGTCCTGGGAGATGGGAATAACTGGAGCTCAGTGCTCTGCCTGCAAGAGGGAAGTGTGGCCACCTGCACTGACACAACTGGGCAGCAAAGAACAGGATTGCAGCCCCAGCCTTACTAATTTCCTTAAGGAAACAGAGGAGATGGATTTTTATTGCTAATTCCAGTCTAGTGAACCTCTTCTGGAAAACGATTCAGCTGATTGTAGTGGCTGACAAAAGGAAGTTGGGTGTTTCCCACTCCTTATTTAAAGCAGAGTTTAAGCAGGTTGTTTTTTTGGCTGCTGAAGCATGAATCAGGCACATGGCCTGTTCTGGTAAGGGTTTATTAATGTATTTTGGTAAGGAAACGCATTCTGAGAGAATGATTTATATTTAATTTCACCCACTCCTAAAGTGTTCCCGATTTCAACTTCTCTCTTCCTGAGTATGTCTTTCCCTGTTCAGGCTTCCCTGATTTATTGTTCCCCTGGACAAGTTCCTTCCTGGCCACTCTTGTTCTTTGCAAAGGACTTTTACCTGAAATGTGTTTGTTTTGGTTTTTTTTGTTTTCTTTTTGGTTATCTGGGCACACTCTCCATCT